CTCTCTCTCACTCTCTCTCACTCTCCCTCTCCCCCCCCCTCTCTCACTCCGTCGCCGTCGTACTCCCCGTGCACGTCCCAAAGCAGTGCAGCAGCAGCAGCGCGAATGCTTCGCCTCCATGGTTCCCGCCCATGACTTGCCGAGATGAAAAATACGCTGTAAATTTTGCGTCGGCCGCGAGGTCTGGCCGGGACTGGACTGCGCGGTCCGTTTGGCGCGTCTTAAATGGCGACAGTAATAACAGACCGGTGTGCGGCGCGCTTGGCCACACCGTGCCAAATGGGCACGCCGGGAGTGTAGCCGCGTGCACGGGTAGCCGGGCGGACCTGCCCCGCCCAAGGGTTCAAGGTTCAAACTGATAAACCAAGTGTACAAGCTGCTCAACACTTCTGAGTGTGCAACTGCAAGTTGAATACTTTCAGGTGTTCAACTGCGTAGTAGTACACTTAAGGGTGTTCATAACTCGGTAGTTGTGTAGTTGTAAGTGTGCAGCTCCTTAGTTGGACGCTTTCTTTAGTGGACACTTAACTGTGTGAAAAGTGTTAAACAGAGGAGTTGCACACTTGCAAGGTGCACAGCTCCTGAGTTGAAGACTTGTAACTGCACACTACAAAGTTAAATACTTGCAAGAATTCAACTTGCAGTTGCATACTTACAAGTGTTAAGTAGTTGCACACTTGGTTTATCAGTCAGTATAAACTCAAGTGACGGCTCCTGATTGTTTCGTTTGCCATTTTGTTCCAGGAGCGGTCCGACGTCATGGACTAGTGGCAGCGCCGTGCCAGCGTCAGCCCCTCCCCTTCCGTCACATCCGGCTTCACCATGGAGTTTTCGGAGGCCTTCCGGGCGGAGGACATCGCCAAGACGGACTTCTTTGACTTCGTGGTGACGCCAGAGGACATGGGGACTGACATCGTGCTGCACAACAACTTTCCGGCCTGGTCACGCAAGTCGATGGGCCTCTTTGCCAGCAACAATGGCGCGGATGCGGCGGACGATCCGGGCGGCAACGGGTCCGTCAACAGTGACGGCGCGCACCCCACCAAGGAGGCAAACAACAACAGCATTCTGCCCAATTTCGCCGACGACTCTTTCTGGGACACGGGGGGCGGGAAGGCAGCCTTCGCAGCGGCAGCGGCCGCCGTCAACATTAAGATGGAGTCGCCCACCCTGGAGGACATCAACGACATCTGCTGGTCGTCCAACGTGCCCGCCGATCAACAGCCGCAGCAGCAGCACCAGCCCGACGACGATCAGGGCGCCAACCAAAGAGAAGAGGGGGACGCCGTTGACGGCAGCAACACGGACGGCTCCATCTACACCCTCACTGTCGTCAACGGCCAGGAGCCCCCGCCGGCGCCGCCCCCACCCGCCGCCCCAAGCGGAGGCGCCGGCGCCGCCCCCGAGGCCCCGCCCCTCTGGTACCGGCCCCCAGACCTGAGCAGCATCCTACGAGAGGGCGACGAGCAGCTGCGGCAAGCCATGTCCTCCATGGACCCCAGCGGCCAGTGCGGCGAGGCCCACCAGTACCAGACTTCGCTCGACATCGACTCCATCATCAGCATCCTGCCGAGCCTGGGCTCTGGCCTGGGCTCCAGCCTGCCGGAGGGGCTCGACCACGGGCTGTTCAGCGGCCCGCCTGACCCGGGGCTGCACCACTCCGACGACCTTCTCGGCTCCAGCGCCGTCTGCGACGACAGCGGCTTCGTAGAGAGCAAAGAGGACGGGCAGCTGAAGCAACCGCAGCAGCCCTCCAGTTCAGTGTCCACCGGCCAGGGCGGCCTCCAGGATGCCGACGACAGGCGGCAGCAGTACAGCGAGAACAATAACGACTGGGCATTCTCGAACCACAACGAGAACAACGAGTCGCTACTGCGGAGTGCACTACAGGGCGGTAAGGCCTACCTCAACCAGTACAACGACACCAAGACCCTCACCGAGCTGGGCCCGCCCGGCATGTTCATGGGCGGGGACATGCTGCCCACCCTGGACGCCCCCGTCATGATGTTCGACGACATGTACGGCAACGGGCCGGCCTCGGCGGCCTCGCAGTGCACCTCGACGTGCACGTCGACGACGTGCATGGACGACATCCTTCTCTCACCGCTGGACGACTACGAGAAGCTTAAGATGATCGAGAACGAGGTGGCCGAGTCGGCCAAGCGCTACGGCATGCACCACTACGGCCCGCCTCCCGCTCCCGCGCCGCACTCGAGCACGCCGCCCGCGCGGCCGAAGAAGAAGGCGTCCCGGCGAAGCGGTGACCGGCCCCCGGCCAAACCGAAGGCGGCGTCCTCCGGGGCCGTATCCAGCAGCTCGGCCTCCACCGTGGCGCCTAACGGCGCGCGCAGGGAGCGCTCCCTGCACCACTGCACCATCTGCAGCAAGGCTTTCAAGGACAAGTACTCAGTGAACGTGCACATTCGGACTCACACGGGCGAGAAGCCCTTCGCGTGCTCGGTGTGCGGCAAGAGCTTCCGGCAGAAGGCGCATCTCGCCAAGCACTACCACACCCACATCGTACAGAAGAGCGAGCTGCCGGCCAAGGGACTGTCCACCAAGGCAAGATAGCGACCGTCGAGCAAAGACAAAAGTATTGTTCCTATATCTCTCACTTCACGAGCTGTGATCTGCCTGTTAGTTATATTACAAGTTTATTTTGTTGTTGTTTTCGTAATACAATTATTAAAACTGTACTTTTTTCGTTTGTGTTTTTAAAATAGGACATGTCTGTATAAATAGCCTTAGTTCTATTACATTTGTAAATAGTACGTGAACATTATGTAAAGCTGGTCTGCCTCGAAGATTGGAATTCTTTCACAAGACGTGCTAGTGATATTTTGAGCAGATTTTGTACTTTTATTATTGTAATTTGTGTTAGCGTCAAGTAGCCTACATAGTGCGAATTGCGCACTTATTTTTTTTATAAATTTTGTCAATATGAGCTGTACATAGCAAATAGTTTCCAAGAGTATTAGTAAAAGTACCTTTTAGTGCCTTGAAATGCCAATCAAATTTAGTGTTTGTTCTAATTCAGTGGTAATTGTGCTTCACCATCTATTTTTTTTTCTGCAAACACTTAAAATTAAGAAATGTGGTCTGCCCTTTGTACTTTTTGCACTTTGGTATCCGATAAGCAAAAAATATCGTCAATTAGTTTGTTAGCGTGTACGGTACTCTATTCCAATGTTTGACGATCGTTAAATTGTTTATTAGAAATTGGAGCACAATATCCATGACAGGCCTGTGGCCTAAAGTCCTCTTACGGAGAGGACTGCAATCATATGCAAACAACTGAATTGATCTCACTGCAGTTGTGCTTTGGAGGGTTTATCACTCACGACTCTGTTTTATTTTCTTATATTTGGGAAAAGAACGAGTTTTGATGATGAAACGGTTTAATGGGGAATCAGGCTTGTTATTTATTTCTTTTATTATAATTTTTTTGGTCTCGTCAAAATTGTGCATTTTAAAGCATTGCTCTGTCACTATAGTGTTCATATTGTGTATTTTTTAATTTATTATTTTTGTACTTTTGTATGCAGTGATCTTTTTGTCTGTTGTGCTTTAATAAGAGAAACAAGTCCAACGTGCCTCTCTCTCTGTGATTTCATTTTATTTTCACCTTGCGCCCAGAATCAGTTCCCCTTTGCCGCCACTATACACTATACGCCAGCCCCCTGCCCCGACCCATACACTACGCTGCAGAGAGGTGTTGTTGGAAATGGCAGGCAGCCTTGGTGCGGTGCCGTACCTAAGGGAGGCATGGAGGCGGCTAAATATTACCCACAGATAATTCGAAGGAGGTAAATGGCTTCCCGCGGGCTTGACCCGGCCTCGAGTGCCCTGGCTCAATCTCGCTCTCGCTCTCTATCGACGGGTACGATTTGCTTATTGCTGCCACTACCGCGGGGGAGAACCAAAGGCAAGGTCGGATCAGAAATAGCCAATAGCCCCATTATCTACGCACACTAAAAGATTTTTCTTGATTGGTTTTACCCTTTCTATTTTCGTATCATATACTTCATATTTTAAAAAAGTAACGTTTTTTGGAAAACGTTGCAGTAGTACAGTTTAGTCTAGGGAGTAGCGAGTAGTGTCAGCGGGTATGTCCCCGTTTCGTTATTTTCACGGCCCCTCTGTTTTCTCTGCTGCTGCACTTCCCGGAAAATTAATAACTGCGGCGCTGGACAGAGCGGTGCGCCTCGCACCGCCCTCCCCCAAAACATGATTAACGCCATCGCGAAAGAGGAGACCGCTTTCTGCGGCGTAATCTCTGACCGTGTTGATTGATTGCGTCTCCGTCCC